CAATTTCCTCTTTTGCTTCAATAAAAAGGGCACCTGATCTTTCCAAATAGAAAAATTAAAATAACTTATTAAAATAATCAAATAATGAAAAAGAAAAAAATAATAATTTGGCCAAACTTAAATATGGTTGGGTTTTTTGTGAGTTGAGAGTAGAAGCAAAACCAAGTTTGATTGTTTGATTGGGATTGTTATATTCTGCTTAAATTGATACATAATCACAAATCAACATCTAGGGGATTTCTAGATTTTTCAATACTAACACAAAATTTTAAAATAAAAATACTTTATTAAAACCTTTGAATCAAAAAAATAAAAAATAAAAAAAATCAGAAGGAACTAGAGACTTCAGTAACCAGCTGGATTAAATTTGAAAATTGTCTTACGTTATTGTTCTATCATTTCAATTATTATTCATATTGTGAGTCTTTATTCTCACTCTACTTTTATAAAAATATATATTTTTTGTCATTTATTATACATACATTAATACTCTCTCATACAAAATATATTTTTTTAAAAAAAATTAAAATATTAATATAACTATTTATAATAAATACAAACTCTTCGTATATTTCTAAAAGCTACTTATAAAAATTATTAGAAGTGTATATTGGTTGACCATCATTTATCTATGCAGCTGGCAACAAAGACGGTTGACTCTATCTTCTACTTTTATCCGTCAATATTTTTTGATTTTCTATTTTACACACTATGTTAATATTTTGTAATAAAAGAAATTTACAACTTTTTAAAAATTAAATAAAAAATTTCAATGGCAAAGCCATGAAACGATAATAAGGTGAATGTTATGCCCACAATAGTGTACATCACTCTCGTTGTGGCTCATCCTAAAACACTTGGGCATTATTTGGGATAGTATATTTTTTTATATTTTTATTTTTTTTGTATATTTTTTTGGATAAAAAATTAAAAAAATACACTTATTTAAATCATCTAAGGCCATCTCCAACCGTTCACCAAATCCAAGATCAAATTCAAATTTGATGAAAAAAAGCTGCTTTTTGTGCTCCAACGGTTGCACAAAAACAATATCAAATTGAAAAAACATCAAACGTTTCACTAAACTGAGGACGACTTGCTCCTTTCACCAATTCACTGTGCATAGCCGTTAAAGCAGAAATTTGTGAAAATTTTACACTATAGGGTCGACCACCCGGTCGACCCCGTGGTTGACCACCCGGTCGACCGGCTTATGCAAAAATTAACCCGCGAACTGGTTCAAATGGTTCAAATTATTGTTTCAAACGGTTCAAAAAAAATTAAACCGATCGACCCACCGGTTGTTCCTTTCCTTTTTTTATGCACACTACAGTAACCATAACCATTGGAGCTACGCGTATCAGATCAAGAAAATCAACTTTTTTTTACTCAAATTTGATAAAAATTTTGCTAAACTGTTGGAGATGCTCTAAATAATCACTTAATCTCCCATCATAATCATGACATTAAACTTGGATGGTTATGGTTGTTCTTAAAGAAAAGCAAGTGCTTTATTTAGATAGTAATGATAGAGACTCCCACAAAAAATAACCCTCACAACTCTCAAAATTATTTGAACTATTTATGTCACTGTCAGACACAATTCTAAAAAAAATTCAAACACATCAATGACCAACACATCAGTAGAGGTCATAAATGTCATATTTTGTGGGGTCCCAAACATTTTTCTTATTTAGAATGGCTATGCACCAGACCCCACAATCCTCACCCTCTCCTCCCACGACAACATTTGTGAAAGAGAGAGAGGGAGGAGAGAAAAAATAAAAAACAAAATGAGTGGTCACAAATCAATTGGAGTTAGGGGGTCTCCAAAAATGGGGATCTCAAGCATTTTTCTATAGAAATGCCATCAAATAGCGGCGTTGTTTGGGAAGTTTGTTTTTTGTTTTTTGTTTTTTTTCACTAAAAGACAAATTGGTTACAAAATTAAAAAAAAATAAATTCAAACAAAATATCACATTAAACTTTATAATTATTTCACTTTTTCTTTCACAAATATCATATCCAACCATAAAAAATCTAACTATCTTCCCAAACACAATTTTTTTTTCTTCAATAATATGCTACAACTAAAAAAACTTACAAAAAAACTTATTTCCCAAACACCCCACAGTATGTGATGTTTTGAGAAGTTGATAAAAAATTAACTTTTTAAGTTTTTGTGACTTTTTGGTTTTTTTTGTTGTTTTTTGGCTTTTTTTATGTTAAAAAATCTGACTTTTTTGTAACCTTTTTCTGTACTATAAAAAATCTAAAAGCCAAAAACTAATTTTTTTTGTGTTGTTCCCGAAACACCCCTATGTAATGGGTGTTTTGGGAAGGAAAAAAAAGAGATAACTTTTAGGTTTTTATCTATTTTGAGTCATATAACATCTCACATTTTTTATCTATAAAAAAATAAAATAAACTAAAAAAGTCAAAAATTTAATTTTTTACTAACTTTCCAAAACACCACTCTATCTACTTGTGTACAAATTTATCACATAAGAAAAAATTAGCAAAGCATTTTCAAAAATATTTAAAATAAACATTTAAAGATAAACTTTACAGTATAATATAGGAGATTTTAAAATCATTTGTAGATTGTCATTTTCCAATATATCAAGCGCTAAAAAGTGTGATCAAAAGAAATTGATCGTTAATATATTTTTAATTACAAATAAAAAAAACTGAGACATAATTATATATAATTTGAGAGCAAAGTAGACAATAATTTAGAACAGAATATCCCCTAATCAGCCCTCAGATTCTAAATTTTCACTTAGACACTTGTTAACTTGCAATGAATGCAAAGTGGGTATGAACTTAGAAGATAATTTGAGCACACCATTCAGATGGTTTGGTTTCATAACTCTAGATTTACTTTTTAGAAAATTATAATTTTTTATTTTTCGTAATTTTTTTTGTTTTTATTGAATTTTTTTAATATTTTAAACAATTATTTTAATTGTTAGATACACTTAATATAAATATATTTAAAAAGTAAAATATTTATGAAAAAAATCTTTAAAAAATTCACTAAATATCAAAAATATAAAAATTCAATATATTTTTTGTATTCTTGTGTTTTTATTGAGTTTTAAAAATATTTTTATATAAATATTTTACTTTTTAGATATATCTAAATAAGATGTATCTAAAAAAAATAAAAAAAATTATATAAAATCTTAAAAATATTTACTAAAAATAAAAAAATATGGAGAATAAAAAATTTAATTTCTAAACAATTGAATTCATTGCATTTCTACTAATTGTTATTGTGCCTGTTTGGTGCAGCTTAAAAGCTGTTTATTTCAGCTTTCAGCTTAATTTAAGCTATTTTGATGTGTTTGGTTTAACTTAACAATGCAGCTTATAACTTTTTGCAAGTCAGAAATCAGCTTATTCTTTGAGTGAGACAGGAGAAACTTAATTTATAAGTCAGAAATCAACTTATATTCATAATTATAAGTTATAAGCTGTTAAGACATAAATTAAAAGTACTTTTCCACGACTCTACCGGACAGAGTCATTATTAATACTAATTCTCGTAATGGGAATTGGTGGTGAGTGAGAAACAAGAATTCAAAGTCCATTCAAAATGCATGAGGACAAACTCAGCAATCTATTAAATGGTACAGCCAACTCATCATTTGCTATTGCTCGTGGTCAAATAATTTTATTAAGAAATAAAAAATAAAAAATTAAGCAACCAAGGAGACAGTACCATCGATACAAATGCAAAATTACTTTCTTAAAGCAAAGTTAAATTATATACATTTGCGATGATATTTTAATAGAAGCAGCTCAAGAAAAGCTGAGCAACCCAATAAGCAATCGTTAGCATTTTCCTAGAATAAAAAAATCCCAATAAATTAAGGCTTAAGTTTATTAAAATAAAGAAAAGAAAAGAAAAATAAAAATAAATCAAACTTCAATGCAAACGTAAACGCGCTGTTTTGTTCTTTGAAATAGTAGTTGATCAGGATAACCCTACACATCAACCATCTCTCAATTATTTTTTATAAAAAAAATAATAATATCACAAGAATTATATCATTTAACTATAAAAAAAAAAAAGTCTAACATATAGCTAGAACAACAAAACCAAGGACTAATTCATACAAAGACAGAAAAAATTTCGCATAAATAAAAAATTAATCATAATCGAATCATCTATAAACCACCGATAATACCTACAAGTCAAGCTCTCATTCCTTCCCTCTTAGGTTAGATTAATGGAAAATGTTATCTATATAAAATTTGTCATAAAAATAATATAACAATGATATTTTTGTAAATACATATCATTGAAATGGACATTTTATTTTAAAATAATAATGCCTCGTTTGGGAACTCTTCTTTTTAGTCAAAAAGTCAAAAAGTTACTAAATTAGCCAAAGAGCCAACAACCCATATTAAAAAGTCAAATATTCTCTTTTCTCTCTACTTTTTGCACATATTTTTGTAAAAAGTCAAAAAGTCATCCCAAACATACTAGTTTTTTTTAGCTCATATTTTAGTCAAATAGCCAAAAAGTTACTAAATTAACCTGTTCCTAAACAAGGTGTCAATGACGTCACATCATTTGATATGTAAATTTTATATATTTTTTTTTATCTGTATATCACTATTTTCAATTAAAATAAATGACAAACTGCAATTTATTCCACTTAAAAACTAAAAAATTGTAGAATTTGTCAACTATGCTTCACAAGTGTAGATGGTGACACATCATCACACAATTTCCATATGAAATTAGTTTCTTGATATAAGTATAGAATTATTTATATATGTGTCATTTTCAATAATCTCTCCCTCTCTCTCTCCCTCTCTCTCTCTCTCTCTCTCTCTCTCTCATAATAATAAAATCAAAAGTCTTTGTCCAGTTTGTTCTCGCACACATTCAAACTCACAATCAATACAACCTCCAAGAGTGAGTCAGACTTTCACTACATTATATTACTCATTTAAAGCATCTCGCAGTCATCGTCTGTTGGGAATTTATACATACACTCGGTGTTCAAACACGAAGCTCTCTTTCACCTATGCATCATGATCATGATGATCTTCCCACAACTCCTCGCTTCAGTTGTTGGATTCATTTGCTTCGCAACTCTTGCATCTAGAGCCACTCTTCTCCCCAATGATGAAGGTATGAAATATATATATGCTCACATATTGCTTATAGGTGTGTCTTGAATTTGATCCAATTTGTTGACGACTTAAAAAAGGCATATATAAAAATAACTGGGTGATGAACTAAACCACTTGTGCTTTTAAAGTACTAATTAGAGTTTGTACATTGTAATTTCTTAAGAATGTATAAAATGTTCCATTTTAATGATGAGGTTTTCTTGCACACTATAGTCTTGATTTAGTATTTGTATTTGGGTCTATTTTGATTTGATTTGTTACTTTGAGATTTTAGAATTACAATGGTGTGAGTTTTTATATGAGAATTGTTAACAGTAAGACTCATTTTAATATATATTTCACTAGTGAATATAAATTTATTGAACCTTTTAAATTATTATGTATTTGTGTGTCTATTTTATTTTCTCATCTTCATGTTCCATAACAAAAATAATTTATATGATTGTTGATTATGTTTTTGGTAAATTACACTAACCACTTTTAAAGTTTGGAGAAAATATATCAAGCGTTATAAGTTCAACATAGTTGATGTAACATAATTTTTTTAAAAAAGAGATTGATGTAATTATACCAAAAACTTATAAGAATTATAAATTGTATTTTTATTTTTATTTTTTAAAATCTTTGTTTCTTGACGTACTTTAACATGAAGATCATAGATTCATAGTCAATTCAGATTCTTCTATTTTAATTGTTGAGTTTTACAGTGCAAGCTTTACAGCAAATTGCAAATACATTGGGAAAGACAGATTGGAATTTCAGTGCAAATCCATGCAGTGGAGAGTATGGTTGGGCCACACCACACCCAGTATCAGGTTCTGAGAATTCAGTCACCTGTAACTGCTCCTTCAATAATAACACCCTCTGCCACATCGTTAGCATGTATGTCTCTCTATCTCACCATCTTCTTTTCTTTTTCTTTTTTTCATTTTATTTTTAAAAAATTTTCATACTTTCATTTTTTTAATATATTTGTATAATTTTTTTATACACGTAACATTTTAAGAAAATGATAACACTAATTTACGGTGCCCCAATAGTTGTCTAAAAATTTGTCACAGAATAGTAGACCCTCCTCAAATTTGTTTGCGGCATAACTTAAAAAACTTTAAGCCTCCGTTTGGGAAGTGGGTTGATTTTTTTATTTTTTTGGTTTTTTTTGTTATTTTAGCCTGGGCTTAAAAGCTTAGTTTGGGAAGGGCTTTTTGACTTTTTTGAGTTTTTTTATGAGAGAATAATGTAATGATTATGGGTTGGATGTGATGTTTTGTTATGTTAGTAATGGGCGCCCATGTGGCATGACCATTAAATTTGATTTTGAATCCTTATCCAAATAGGTTTTGATTTTGAAATCAAACCTATTTAGGATAACCACTCTTGAAACAGACGTTATCAGTTTGAACTGATATAGATAGATATAATATATATTAGATATTATCTGTATCTTAACTGATATGGATAGATATTATAATATATTAAATTTTTGTTATATGGTTATGGGTAATCCAAGAAAAACAACGTTGAGTCTGTTTCAACCCATACACTGACTCTCTCCCAAAAAATACAACGATCAAGTCTTTGACACTGTGGTTGGTGTGGGTGATATTCAATCTGTGATATCACTCCACTGCTGAGTTGGTTCATCAAGAAGTTTCCTAGAAGCACGTGATTTATCCAAGAAGGTTCTATCATCAAGAAGGTATGATTGTTTGATCTGATCATTTTAATCCGCTGTATATACTACATGTTTTGTATCTCTGATTTACATGTTTGTTATGACTAAAATAGCCTATTTTATTTTTTGTGACTAAAATAACTAAAAAAACCTTGCAAATCCACTTGCCAAACACAGGCTAAGTGAAACTTTTTATTTTTAATTGATACTATGACTGATCTTTTGTTTTTCTTGTGACTTGTACAATCAATCTTAAATATGATGTCATCAGTTTTAATTTATTTTTTTATTTTTTTATACAAAACCAAACGCTAATGCACACATTTTTTAACAAAAAAGATATAAAAGAAACGAGAATATATTTTGCACAAAATTTTAGGCGAGCACGTAAGTTGTCTAATGCTCTGTAATTATAATTTAAGTGCCATCTTGGGAATATGGTAAAAAGTCACGTTTTTGGACAAAATGTCTAAAAACGTGGCTGCTAAAAAAGCCAGAAAAGTCATTTGGCAAGTGCAAAAAACGCAACCATAAAATTACAAATTAGGACCTATGAAAAAAAAATAAAAAAATAAATCTATTATGTTGGGTAAGGGTATTTTGGTCATTTTAATTTGATTTGACACCATAAATAAATATTAAACTAAAAAGTAAAAAGTTAACTTTTTACCAACTTCCCAAATCACTTCCAAAAAAGCCAAAAAACTTGATAAAAAGCCAAAAACCAACTTTTTACCAACTTCCCAAAACAACCCTAACACTAATTTTACAGTGCCGTAAAAATTATCCCGAAAATTTATTACAAAACAGTCACTCAGTATGGGAACCCTATTCGTTATGCTTTAATTTTCTCGTATTTTGTTTTTCTTTTTAATAATGACGAATAAAAGCATCTCCAATGCACTAGGCATATAATACTTGTTAGTTAAAATACCTAGTGTGATTCACTTTTTTCAATTCCAATGCACTAGGCATATGATTAGGCATTTTGCCTCAACTCATATTTACTAGCTACATGTAGCTAGCCTTCAATGCTAGGCAAAATGTATTCAATCACTAGGATCATTTCCCTCCATCTTTGTTGTTGACGTGGCATTCTATAAAATTAATAATATTTGGATAAATAGCTAAAATAAAGAGCATGGTTGGAGTAAAAACATAAAACAGTCGATAGGCAAAATAAAATATATACTTTATAGTAATATTTAGATAGGTAAAATGCCTATTACCGTTGGAGATGCTCTAGCAAGCTAATGTAACTCAAGTGATAATCATATGCTAATCTATACTATATATTAAGTAAAAGAAGATTTTTAATCTCAAATTTTTTGGAAATTTCAATCTCTTAATCTAAATTTTTGATTTAAAAAAAAAACTCAGCATTTATAGATTTGGTCAAAATCTTTTGATCCTCATTTATTAATTTTTTTCAATCCACATGCCTACATTTATTGATTTAGTCAAAATCCTTAATTAACATTTAAAACCCCCTCATACAAATAATTATAGATACAGCCCGTGTATAGTTACTGCAGTAGTCTTTTTAATTTCTCCTGTACACTATGGTTGGTGATAAGATTGTTAAATTATTTTTATAAAAAATCTTAAAAAACATAATTTATATATTAAAAAAAATTAAAATAAATATAAATATCTATAATTATCCTGTGTATAGTACGGGTGATAAGCTATCTATACTATATATTAAGTAAAAGAAGGTTTTTAACTCCAAGACTTGTGGGAGCTTCAATATCCCAATATGAATTTTTTAAATTTTTTATTTTTTATGTAAAAAAAAAAAACTCAGCATTTATTGATTTGGTCAAAATCTCCTGATCAGCGTTTATTAATTTTTTTCAATCCACATGTCTTTCCACATGCCTGTATTTATTGATTTGGTCAAATTTTTTTGATCAGCATTTAAAATCCCCTTATACAAATAATTATAGATACAATCCGTGTATGGTTACTGCAGTACTCTTTTTAACTTCTCCCATACACTATGGCTAGATTGTTAAATTATTTTTATAAAAAATCTTTAAAAACATAATTTATATATTAAAAAAATCTAAAATAAATATAAATATCAATAATTATCTCGTACATAGCACGGGTGATAAGCTAATATGATATATGATAATGTATACATAAAAATACAGCAATACAAAACCAACATGCGTGTCCCAACGAATTATTAGTCATTGCGAAACTGGGCCATAGAAACGGCTTGGACCGCTATAAATATATTTATGTTTAATTACGGAATTTGAGAAGGGATTTAAGAAAGAAAAGAAAAAGAAAAAGAAAAAATATACGTGAAATTAGTGCATTAATTAGTGTATCAATTGATGATGTGATATAATTTAAAATTTTTTAGTCTTTGTAATTTATATAATAAGTGAGATTAATAATAATGTCATAACTAGTGTTGGTACACTAGTTAGTGCATTAATTGATACATGTAGCACCACTAAACTATTTTAGTTGATTATTTAATTTTTTGACTATTTTAACTTGGCGAAAAAAGTTGTATTTAAGATAATAATTTTTTGTTTTGTGTTGTTTTTTTGTTTGTTTGTTTTTTTTTAATTGATTTGCTGGTTGTAGAAAAAAATTAAATAATTATGAGTTAAATATAATGTTTTATTTTATTAGTTATTTTAAATCTACTTTGGGGGTGTTTGACGAGGATTTTTTTTTTTTTTAGACTAAAATTTTAAAAAAACAAAATAAGTTAATTAATAAGACAAAATATCATATTAAATCTATAATCATTTTTTTTTCTTAAAAACATCACATTCAATTAAAAAAAATTCAACTATCTTCCTAAGCCTCCGTTTGGGAAGTGGGTTGACTTTTTAGTTTTTTTGGCTATTTTAGCCTGGATTAAAAAGTTTGGTTTGGGAAGGACTTTTTAACTTTTTAGCTTTTGTGACTTTTTTTGTGAGAGAAGAATGTAATGATTATGGGTTGGATGTGATATTTTGTCTTTTGTGGCTAAAATAGCCTATTTTGTCTTTTGTGACTAAAATAGCCAAAAAAGTCCTGTTTAGCTCTTGCCAAACGGAGCTTAAATATAAAAATTTTAACCTATTAAAATAATCAAAAACTAAAATAACCTACTAAAATAGCAACTTCTCAAACCTCTGCTTTGTCTTCTAATTTAGCGAAACAACATGCGAAACAAGCCTAATGTAACTGCGAAACCGGGCCTAAAAAAGGGCTCGAACCGCTGGGCTAAGACTAGGCCAAGTTTGACATGTTGAAAAAAAATTAAAAAGTTATTTAAAAAGTTATCACTATTTATCAAAAGTCAAAAATTACGCTTGCACAACTCCTAATCCTAATTTTTCCATGCACACTAATTTATACAATTTATATAATTTTTTAATACACATTTTTTCATAAAAAATTAAAAAATTAATCTAAACATCCATATTTTTTTCTTTAATTTTTTAATCTAAAAAAACAAAAAATACACTTATTTAAGACACTCTAAACAATCCTTGTGCAAATTGCAGAGTCCTGAAAGCACAGAGTCTTCCCGGGACGCTCCCGCCGGAGTTGATCAAGCTCCCTTACCTCCAGGAAATGTGTTTTTTCCATCCCCCCCCCCCCCCCAAAAAAAAACCCCCTAATTTCCTCATCACTGTACTTAATTTCTTTACGATTCTATCAGTGGAAGATATTTTATCTGTATCATTTACATATCTTTCTTTCATTCGTACAGTGATCTCACTCGCAACTACCTTAACGGAAATATTCCCCCAGAATGGGGTTCTATGCAACTAGTCAACATGTATTGCTCGCTCTCTCTCTCTCTCTCTATGTATATATACTATGAAGCACGTGTATGGGCACTGTAACTCGATACCATAAAATGTAAACAAAAATTAGAGTACACGTGGGTACTTTTGTAAAGGGATATTTATTTTTAATTTAAAGTAATGTAAAAATTATTTGATACCAAAACATGAAGGTGTCATTGTATTAAATAACCTATAAATTATAGTTTAATTTAAAAAATTTACTAAGCATTAAAATAGATAAATAAATAAAGTCTAATGAAATTAATTTTAACTTTGTATTAAAAGAAAATATTGCTTCTACTTGACTAGGTATATTTTGTATATGGAAAAAGCTAGAAGAAGAATTTGATAGTTATTTTGTGTATACGGTATATATAGACAACGGTAAAGCCAGGAAAATAAATCAGAATGGGCACTTATTGATTACAATTTTAATTTTTTTTCTATAACCAACAATAAGAAGATAATAATAATTTTTGAATTAATAATAAGTACAAAAACTTAAATAAATTATTACAAAAGTATTTCACATAAAATTTTATAATTAATTTCGAGTAAAATCGAAAAGAAAGTATTGCGTGTAATTAGTGTATCATAGACAATATAAAAAAAATATATATACTTACATCTTAAAATAAATTATATAATGATAAGATAAATCAAATTTTTACAAAATTTTAGTAAAATTTTTATATAATAGTGATATCACGTCATTATTGACATATAATATTACCAATCAATAGTAAAGTAACATATGAAGGGTGAATTTCACATGTAAATATAACTAACACTCTAGTAATTTTTATATATATATATAGTAAGATTAATTATATTTACATATCAATAATGATGAATATTACTTTTATATTGAGATTTTTTCACAAAATTTTTATACGTAAAAATATAATTTGTAGTAATCACTTCATTTTCAATAAAACAATCACTATTATTTTCATAAATTTAAAAATATCATTAATATTTTATTCCAAATATTATTTTTGTTTAAAATTTTACAGTGGTGCTATATACCACTAAAAAGGGATCACTAAGCCAGCTCTAATGAGCTGGCAGTGCTGAAAATTAAAAAAAATAAAATAAAAAATAAATCATCACATCAATTAAGACTACAGTATTTTTAGAACTATTAGAACTCATTATTTTAGAGCTCTTAAACAATTTTCAAAATTTTATATATACACATATGTAAAAATAAAAAAATAAAAAATCGGGGGGAGCTCCGCCACTGTATACAAAAGTATCATATCAGATACTGTGGGTACGGCATATTTGTGGAAATATAATACGAAGTATCAGTACACGGTACGGCACGTTTGTCCAAGTAACTATGCTTCATAGTATATAGAGATTTATACACTTTATATTGGAGATTTTCTTGAAGTTTCTGATAGCCAATCGTGTCACGGCAGATCGCTACTTGGGAACCGATTAACGGGTTCAATCCCAAAAGAATTTGGAAACATCAGCACACTCACAAATCTGTAAAAATTTTGATTACCCTTTTCTTTCCTGGATCTGGTATGAAAATTTGATGTCATTTTGTTGTAAATAGTTTGAATTTTGATGTTTGTAGAACCCTAGAGTTCAATCAACTGTCAGGACCAATCCCTTCAGAGCTTGGGAGTCTTCCTCGCATACAGAAACTGTGAGAACCCTTTTGTTATTTTGCTATATATATATATATATATGTATGTATAAATATATATTTTAAATTTCCAATCATTTACAAGTTCCTAGTGTTTTGGGATATTTCAACTGTTTGGTATCGGAGAGCAGCTTGGTTTTGTGCTTGAATCATGTCATGGTCCTAATAGTATGTAACTTTGTTCACGCCAATGCCGTGTTCAGGAGATGATACTCTTGGAAATAGCCTTGCAAATTGTTGTCATATGCATGCCCCTCTAACAAATTTAAGTCTGGAAAAAGCTACTCTTACAGAAAATTCATGCAAAATCTTCCACCAGAATGACGTGGAAGTGACATCTGGGTGGTTTCTTTATTTTGAAGTGATAGGCCCACAATGCACATCATTTTGCGCGCGTACACACACACACATATTTGTTTGCACGACATTACTTTGTAAGTTTTTAGAGTAATTGTTCCGTAGCACTACAGTTTAAGATTAATTAATTCATTGGTTGAGTCTTGATTCGTGACTGCATTTTGTTGTGGAAGATTTTTGACTTCAAACAATTTTACTGGGGAGCTTCCGGGAACACTGGCAAACCTAGACACTTTGAAGAGCTTGTAAGTTTTTTATTTTTTATTTTATTTTTTATGGGTGATTTTAATATTCTTGAATTTGTTCTCCACTTTTCCATTTAAGTGACATTCGTTAAATTAGTTACATTAATGCAGTCGGATTGGTGACAACAGCTTTACTGGAAGCATACCCAATTACATCCAAAATTGGACAAATCTTGAAAATTTGTGAGAGCTTGACCTCTTTTGATATATTCAGTTGTTGTTTAATGTTAGAATTTTATATTGACCATTTTTTCATTTCAAATTCTGGTGTGCAGAGTGATTCAGGGTAGTGGTTTAGATGGTCCAATTCCTCCTGGCATTGCTTTTTTGACAAATTTGTCTGACTTGTTAGTAAAACTTTGTAATCCCTGAGCGTTTACTCATTTTATAGTTGTCTATGTTTAATGATGCTGTTCTTAGCTGAATTAAAAATGCAGGAGAATAAGTGACTTAAATGGAACCCAATCAACTTTTCCACCCCTTAATAATTTGACAAACCTTCAAGTACTGTAAGTTGATTCCCTCTTTGGAACTCTCTTTTGAACAATATACCAATCTCTTCTTGTTGACTTGAACTGGTGTGTATTTGATTGCATTGCAGGATTTTGAGGAGTTGCAATATTATTGGACCATTACCTGAATATCTTGGGCCGATGACAAATTTGAAAACCTTGTTAGTAGATTTATACCTTTTCCCCTTATCGACATGCGTAGTGATGCGACAAATAATTTTATGTTGTCAAATATCTCAGTTCATCACCATGTGTTGGTAGACTGTTCATCCCACTCCATTTGTGGACAATTCTCGTATAAAGTACAAAACAAAAACAGTAGGCAACTGATGAACTGTGAATCTTTAAAGATGACAACAAACACTTCTCATTTGGAAGAGTCTGAAAGCCATCACAACTTCATGAGAATTTGAGTACACCTTAGACACTATTATGCTGTAAAAAAATTTACTTCCGTTGTTATGAAACTTCAATTCATAGTACTGATTATCTGTTTTTGGTTTTTGACAGCTGTTAAATAAGAAAAAAGAAGAAAGAAATCATTTTGAAATCTACTTATCTATTATTTTTCTTGCAGAGATCTCAGCTTCAACAAGTTAAGTGGAGAAATTCCAAGCAGCTTTGTCAGTCTGTCAAAAACAAACTACATGTATGTACACCGACATCTCATACTATTTTCTAAGTTTTGGTTGCTAATTTTACTTGCCTGCAGTATGGTTAGAGCTGACCAAACTGCTTAAATTGTCCCATAAAGGGATGTTGAAGTAGAGAACTGATCAGTGGCCCAAAGCAACCAATCAAAGTTAAAAAGTAACACATTAAATTGATCAAGTGGTAACTCTACATAATTAGCAGCCTGAAATAAGCTAAATATAAGGCCAAGCTGATGGCCAAACCTCCTTGCTTTTCAGATCCTTTCACCTCTTGGTTATGAAACCAGCGAGAGATTTTAGGTGTAAAGCAGGACCACCGTACCATCGTTTGGCCTAAAATTCTTGTATTATCACATTGGCCCCGTTTGGTAGAGATGTGGGAAAGTGATTATAGCTTATAGTTTAACAGCTTATAATTTATATCTGTGAACATAAGCTGATTTTTGACTTATAAATTAAGCTTCTCCTCCCTCACTCAAAGAATAAGTTGATTTTTGACTTACAAAAAGTTATAAGTTGTATTGTTAAGCTGAACCAAACACATCAAAATAGCTTAAATTAAGCTAAAAGCTGAAATAAGCCTTACCAAACAGAGCCATTGTCCTATACCAGGAGGCAAGAAATAGACACATAGGTGGCTTGTAAGCCTCCTAAGAGATATCCAACTTTGTGTAATAAAAAGTATATTTAGAAATTCCTAGTTTGCAAAAGATAAAATAAGAAAGAACCTTTTCTGTCCTGCCTCTACAACAAATGGAGAATAGCTTAGGTTTTAAATTGTATTTCCTTTGATATGAATTAGGATAATTCTTTCATTTGAGTTATTTCAAAAGACAAACCAACTCTTACTTTAATGAATTAAACCTGCAAAGGTCACAAAGAAGCTTGTTACTCACAATAGATGTTCTCTACTCTCTTCTTACCTGACCATGTTCCTCACTCAAAAGAGAGGAATATGATTATCAGTAACTAATTCAGTGGTATTGGATTTGTTTAGTTATTTAACCGGGAACTTACTAAGTGGACCCGTGCCTGATTGGATTTTGCAAAGTGGAGAAAACATGTAAGTTATCTTCTAAAGCCATAGAGTGCCTTCTCTGTTGGTTTTCATGGGCATTAATTAATCCATTATTCACGTTGTGATTACACTTGTAGATTATTGATTGCTTATGGTTCTAGTTATTTATTGATTGACTGCATTCCTTGGCATTGAAATTTCTGTGACTCTCTTGAAGTACACTTCATTATTCTTTAACATTAAATTTTATCTATGTATTTGTTTGATGCAGATGTTGGTTCAATTTTTATTTTTTATTTTTCATTTTCTTCATGGGCTTTATTACTTCTTGAACCTTGTGAACTCCGCTTGGATGAAAGAAGTCCTCATTTTAATTTGTGGGAACCCATTGGTCTGGAAGATATGTGAATATTTTTCATTTGTATTGTATTGCCTCTACAAGAATATGACTTCTAATAACCAATCATCTTGGAAGTTGATAATCTGATCGTACCATCTTAGACAAGCCTCTAGCATGGGGTGAAATTTTCGGGGCGGAGGCACATGAGGCCCAGAGGGGTCACGTGCCCCCCCTCAATTTTTAAAAAATTATTCTTTTGCCTCTTATAAAAATATATATTTTAATTTAATCCTTTTAAGTAATATCATGAAATTTTTATATCACTATTTTCTTTACTTTTTTTATATAAAAAATGTTTAATTTATTACTTTAAATGTTTAATTATGCTAAAAAAAAATTCTTATAAATTTTATAGTAGAGAAATGTTATATATCACTTATATTTTGTCACTGTTTTATATCACCTTTTATACGACACATAATTATTACACAATTAATGACAACTAATAATATATTGTCATGTAATTCAATTATTCAAAACGGTGAAAAAAACAAGTAATATATAATAGCTTCTGTATATTATTATTCACCTTCCTCTCATTTCTTTCTCTATTGTCACTATATCTCTTTATGTGTGCGTGCATCTTAATATAATTTCGTTCTCATATTTTATGAGGGTATATGTAATTATTTTTTAAACCGTGATGATCATCATACATAAAATAAATTAATAACAATAAAGATAATGATTAGTTAACTTGACCTTATATTTAAATATAACTATTGCATCACACTAATTTTTAGTTCTACCATCAAATAAAAATTAAGTTAAATTATGATTTTTGGTTAAGATTTCAATTCAATAGTGCCCCTTCTCTTTCTCATAATTAACTAAATAAAATCCAATATGGCCACCTAAGTATTAGAAGCCATGGATAGATCATAGCCTTTTCTTAGATTAGAGTGGTGGATATAGCAATTAAGACTTCAAGTGGTTTATTGCCACTGCCCATTGTTACCAATCAAGTTATTAGTTAAGCTGAGTGGAAAATAATAAGTACCCACATAGAAGGCTGAGGTAAAATTGTTACAACTTAGAATTATTATTGTTCCCTTTTCAATTATGTCATCAACTAAAATGGATGAAATATAGTTCTTATCTCATGTTATATTCAAGCCTGGGATGAATCATGGTGTGAATTCTCCATGCAGTGATCTTTCCTATAACAACTTTAGCTTGTTGGGCCCAAGTTGTCAACAAAGGACTGTGTAAGATTACTTACAACTTAGAATTATTATCATTTCTCCAAAATCTTCTCTGAACTTTTCGTTCTCTGTATTTTTATGCAGGAACTTATTTGAAAGCTCTTCAACGGGTAATACATCGTAAGTTGTTAACCTTTTGTAAGCACCTTCATCATAAATTTCTGTTGCTTTCATAATCAATTTGAGCATTGCTTCCAATTATGTTCTTGTTATAACTCATTATGACCCCACTTGATTGAGATACAAAACTTAGTTTGGTTTGGTTATAACTCATTTTATGATATGACATGATGCTGACTAGTTCATGATCTCACATTGTTGTGCCAGTGGTATTGTGTCCTGCTTGAGAAGCTTTCAGTGCCCACAAAGTAAGTTAAAATTTTGTTTTTCCTTTGCATTGCTATTTGATTTGATTTCTCTGGTCATTTATACTGTCATGAACTATATAGAAAAGCTTTAAGTAGCATAGGCACAGACAAGGGACACACATGACAAAACATGAATATTGCACATGAAAAATCCTAAAACAGTAAAATATGGACACAGCAAGGACACAAAAAGTATAATATATATTTAGATAATATTAAAATAATATATATTTTTAGATAAATATATTTTTGTTGTTTATCTGTATTTAATGATGGATAATCTTCTTCTTTTTTTTTTTTTTTTTTTTTTTGAGTGTCAGATTGGTATTCCTTCCATATAAATTGTGGTGGTAAAGAGGTAACTCTTGGTGGAAATATGAAATATGAAGCTGATACAGATTCAAGTGGGCCTTCAAGGTTCTTCTTAAGTGGAACTAACTGGGCATTTAGTAGCACTGGTTACTTCTTGGATACCAGCAGCAGCTCAGATTCCTTTATCTGCACAAATACTTCAAGGCTTTCCATGAAGGATTCCGATTTGTATGTGGATGCACGACTTTCTCCTATATCTCTAACTTATTATGGTTTTTGTCTACTAAATGGAAGCTACACAGTAAATCTTCACTTTGCGGAAATCATGTTTACTGATGACAAAACATATAGCAGCCTTGGAAGGCGTATATTTGATGTTTACATTCAGGTAGATTTTTGCAATATACTACTAACCATTTATGTAGAAAGGTTTCCTTAGTTCTTTTTCTTTCTTCTTCTTTTTCTTTTTTTTCTTTTTTTTGGGGGGGGTAGAAATTCTGTTGTTATTTGTAAATGGGTAATGTTGAAGTGAATGGGATCATGGTGGCTATGATGGTTAAGAAGAAATGATTTCCATGCAATTTGTTATTTTATTTTTCATATCGAGCAACATCACGATTTTGTAAGGAAATTCTTGCAGGGAAAGCAAGTGCTGAAGGATTTCAACATTGAGAATGAAGCAGGTGGGGTTGGTAAGGAAATCATAAAAAATTTTACTGCGCTTGTGACTGATATGACATTGGAGATACGTTTCTATTGGGCTGGGAAAGGGACAACTGCTATCCCTACCAGAGGAGTATATGGTCCTCTAATTTCGGCTATATCTGTGAACCCTGGTAAGATGTATGTTTCTCATGTCAATGGTTGGACAGAAAATGCTTTCACATTTTTTTGTTGCAGTTGCATTGTAGTTAAGGCTATTGACTCAGATGGTGCCAGTCCTGTTTCATGGTGGACTAATCGAAACTCTGTGGAACTGGAATCATCTCTCATTTCATTATTATTATGAGTCTGTTTTGATTTTCCATAATATCATGTAATTTTTTTTTCTTTACATTCCTTTTTGTTTTCAAATGTTTGGGACATCAAAGAAATAATTCAATTCACTGTTAGAATTGTCATCTTTTGGTGATCACTCAATTACCACGAGGTACATAAAAGAACACAATCATATTCAGTGGCAACTCCACATGGATGTTGATGGGGTCCCATGACCCCCGGTTTAAAAAAAAAAAAAATTATATTGTTAATATTTTATTTCATGTTGTTTAATTTCATTGAAAAATTAAGGGACCCCATCAAATTTTGATCCACACCCATTAAAGACCTATTGTTTGATAAGTTTAAATCACTCTGTTTGATTAAGTGTTTATAAAAATATTTTTTGAGTTTTTATATTTTTCATTCATATTTTTTTATCTTTAGTGAACTTTTTAAATATTTTAACTAAATTATTTTACTTTTTAGATTCACTTAATCTAGATATATTTAAAAAGTAAAATATTATTCAATACAGTTTCTGAATTTTTCTTAGATTTTTTCACAAATATTTTACGTTTTAAGTATATCTAGATTAGGTGCATTTAAAAAAAAAAAAAAAAAAAAAAAAAAAAAAAAAAATAAAAAAAAAAAAAAAAAAAAAAGACTAAAATATGAAAAAAAAATTCCTAAAGACAATAAAACACCAAGAATAAAAAATCCAAACTTGTGAAGTGGCTCTATCTATAAAAATTCCTAGAGTCGCCACTGTTCATATTTATGTTGTTTTTGGAACATTAGCCTTTAGAATTAGTTAAGTAAAGCATAATACAAATGGATATTTTTCGTGTTTATGTTAGAATTTTCCATCTTTACCTTCACCTACTCCACTATACACTCCACTTCACCTACCTCCACTTCACCACACACTCCACTTCACCTAACCCACTATCACCTCCACTACACCTACTACCACATTTTCTTCTATATATAGATTGTATAGGAATTGTAAGAAAACAATCTTGTAGAACATCAATCAATAATACGGTCCGCCATGACCCCATAAACTGTCTTCTACCACGGTCCGACATGACCCCATAAACTGTCTTCTACATCGGTCTGACACCACCATACAGTGTTCTCTACAACGTTATGCACGACCATACAGTGTCTCCTATCCTTTTTTATTTTTATGTATTTTCTTGTTTTGTTACTCTCTCCAAACTCAAGTTGGTTAGTTTCTCTCCTCCTTGAGTTTGCGGGGGGCTGTTAGAATTTTCCATCTTTACCTTCACCTACTCCACTACACACTCCACTTCACCTACCTCCACTTCACCACACACTCCACTTCACCTAACCCACTATCACCTCCACTACACCTACTACCACATTTTCTTCTATATATAGATTGTATAGGAATTGTAATTGATCAATCTTGTAATACATCAATCAATAATATATCATTTTTAACAGTTTATAATGCAGCGGATATGTTTTCTTTTGTTGTGATGCTCTGTCAAAGAACATTTTTTTCTCTTGTAAGATGAAATATCTTAGAAGCTGGCGCAAAAAATGATGTTCTGCAGGAACAGGAACTTACAAATTTATAGAGCTTATGACCCCTTTGCATGTTGTTTCATTTATGTCATCTTACTTTGAACCAAACAATTTACATTTAAGTGTTTGGTTTGGGTAAATGGCTTCAAGGCATTTCTTTAGCAGACAATTAGTTTATTGTAATAAGAGGTTCCACCCTGTTTCAAATTATTTATTTATTTATTGGTATTACCGTGTTTCAAATATGCTAAAACAGTAAAAATAGAACTGAATGTTGAATAGAATTCAGGCTAATAGGGTTTTGTAACTTGTAAGTCTTTTGAAATGCATTGAACATCTCAAGGGTCAATGTCCAAAAACATTTGAACTCCATTTAGAAAGTAAAAATATTTAGCTTGTTTGGTTTTATCCTCTTTTTTGAAAATTAAGTTTTTTGTTTTTCATTTTTTTTTTTGGTTTTCACCAAAATTTTTTAATATTTTAAGCAATTTTTTTAGTTTTTAGATATACTTGATATAAATACCCTTAAAAAGTATAATATTTGTATAAAAAATTCACTAAATATCAAAAATACAAAATTTTAGTATATTTTCATATTCTTGTATATTTATTATTTTTAATTTTTTTTTTTATAAATATTTTACTTTTTAGGTACATTTAGGTTAGGTGCATCTAAAAAGTAAAAAATGTACTTAAAATATTAAAAAAAATCACTAAAACAAAATCAATTTTCAGAAATCAATCAAAACCAAACAAGGTGATTGTAATTTAAAATAATAATACTATATGTACCAATTAATGTACTAATTAGTATATAACAAATGATGTGACATAATTTTAGAGGTTTTAGATATTTATAATTTGTATAATAAGTGGGGTTAATAATAATAGCATAACACTAGTTGGTACACTAGTGTATACATTAATTGGTGCATGTAACACTACCGAATTTAAAATATTAGTAATGATCAATTCATTTGTTTCTTGTCAATTTGTTGCGTTTTAGTGTTGATCGCCTCATAATAATCCTTTCATTGGTATTTCTGTTTTTATCCATGCAGATTTTGTGCCACCTTCAGAAACTAGAAATAGTATATCTGTGGGTGCTGTGGTTGGGATTGTGGCTGCAGTTGTTATTTTTCTAATCATGCTTCTGGGTATCCTTTGGTGGAGAGGTTGCCTACGACGCAAAGATACAATGGAACAAGGTATCTGCAAACCCTATAATTGTAGTAAATAGCAATTCTTTTGTCATTGTCATTGTCATTTTCATCTTTCTAATTTAATATATATATATATATTTATAGACTCCTTTATCCATGTGAGTGCTATGCAACCTCATAATAATGTCTTCATTCATCTCTAACTTGTACAAAAAATATTTGTTGTGTCAAATATTATTTAGATATGTGGAGTGTGTAGTGGAGTAGGTGAAGGTAAAGATGGGAAATTCTAACAGTTGTGTCAAATATTATTTAGATATAAGACTGCTTAACACTTCATGCTGCAAGAAATGGCTTGATTTACTATTTGCTGGCAATCCAGGCAGAGACATTTAACTCTCTGTGGATTTAGTGTTTAAACGAATCCGTCTCAAAATACGAAGAATATATATATATTTTTCCAAAAATTCTTCTTATCTTACTTGGCTTCTTCCACAGGTCTAAGGGGTTTAGATCTGATGACTGGTTCATTTACCTTGAGGCAAATTAAAGCTGCCACAAACAATTTTGATGCTGCTAATAAGATTGGAGAAGGTGGTTTTGGTTATGTTTATAAGGTATTCTACACATGGATTACGTCGCCAGTTTTATCATCTCATTCAAACTATTGTAATGCATCTTTTTTCATTAAAATTCTTCTAATGTGAAAAGCCCCCACATTGTATCTTAAATTCTAGGGGCTTCTATCAGATGGCACCGTAATTGCTGTAAAGAAACTTTCTTCCAAATCAAAGCAAGGAAATCGTGAGTTTGTGAATGAAATAGGAATGATTTCTGCTCTGCAACACCCTCATCTCGTAAAGCTGTATGGATGTTGTATTGAAGGAAATGAATTGTTGCTAATATACGAATACATGGAAAATAATAGCCTTGCCCGTGCCTTGTTCAGTAAACTTCAAAGCTTTATTCAACTTCTTTTCATATCAAAACATCTGTACACGTGCACTTTTTTAACACGCACAATTTATCTGACTAGAAATTCTTTGTGCTTGTTAATCTGGTTATTTGAAGGCCCAGACGAATTCCAATTGAACTTAGATTGGCCAACAAGGTACAAGATCTGCATTGGTATAGCTAAAGGTTTGGCTTTTCTCCATGGAGAGTCAAGAATTAAGATTGTCCACAGAGACATCAAGTCCACAAATGTGCTGCTTGATAAGAATCTCAACCCTAAGATATCCGACTTTGGTCTGGCCAAACTTGATGAAGAGGATAATACTCACATAAGCACCAGAATTGCTGGAACTTAGTGAGTGCTTGTTCTTTGGTTCATAATCAATGGGTTATTGATGTTGTTATGTCGTTACCATTATTATCATATTTCTTGTCGTTACAGTTTTATTTTTACACAATCTTACCATATATCATTCATATGGAAAATAATAATTTTGATATGCAGTGGATATATGGCTCCTGAATATGCAATGCGTGGTTACTTAACTGACAAAGCAGATGTTTACAGTTTTGGAATTGTCGCATTAGAAATTGTCAGTGGGAAAAGTAACACTGGTCACAGGCCAAAGGAGGACTGTTTTTATATTCTTGATTGGGTAAGTTGAATACCCTTCTTTCTTGCATTGGTTGTTACTCCCATATCTCCTTTTTATCTATCAAGTTGAGCCCGACGTTTAGAAAAATTTAAATCAAAAGGCTAGGCAGATTAATATATATATACTTATTATTGAAATTACATAGCATGCAATCTTCTTAAACTAGTCTGCATGTAAACAAAAAAATTATAATGATGTCTACATTGTTGGAACTCAGACCCTTTTATCAAGTTTTTAGTCTTTATTGAAACAACAAATCTTAGGGTCCTTGAATTCCAATCACTAAGCATACATGTTGATACTTTTGATTTCTAATGTGGAAATATGTTTCTCCTTAGGCACTTGTGTTGAAGCAGAAGGGGAATTTGATGGAGCTAGTGGATCCAAGGTTGGGATCAGACTTCAACAAAAAGGAGGTTGTGGCGATGATTGATGTTGCTCTCTTGTGCACTAATGTCTCTCCCGCAGTTAGACCTAGTATGTCTTCAGTTCTAGGCATGCTTGAAAGCAGGACGGTCACAGAGGAGTTGGTTTCAGATTCAATGGTCTCAAGCGATAAGATGGAACCGAAGGAAATGATGATTGAGCTGCAACAAAGCCATGAAACAAACTCGAATGACAACCAAATTCACAGTATGTCGAATGACGGGCCATGGACTGTTTCTAAATCTGTTGATGATCTCTACCCACTCATTATGGATTCTGGTTATTGGGCCAACAGAGATTAGAAAAATGGTGCATATTGGCTTGACTAGTTTTCATTTTTTAATCTTATCCTTACAATCCTCTCGTTTTGATTTTTATTCTTCTTTAGAAATTCCTTTACAACAGATGACTGTATAGTGCTTCTGATAAACTGTACATGTATAATTGTAGCAAGATGTGCACTTCTTTAATCTTTTGGCTAAAAGATGATTTCTTTTATTTTAAATTGAAGAACGATTAAGAAAGTTCTAACATTTATAATAACATACTAGTTATATACTATTTATTTTAGAATTTAACGAGGTGTTATAATTTAAAACAAAAATGCCTCAGACTCCCAACGGGGGTCACTGGGGGTCGTGTGTGTTGCCCTCCCATTGGCCAAAAAAAAAAAAACTGTTTATTTTTTTATTTTTTTTTATTTTCAGCGAATCATGGCCCGCCACCTCACTGGGGTCGGACCCCCAGTGGGGGTATTTAGCATGGTTGAATTTAAAAAAGAATGACAAATCTCTAACTCATATATTTAATGAAGAGGATAACCATTTAATTTTGTCTAGTCTTCTTATCTCCCTCTATACTTGTAAATGAGGCATTTGTGTTTTTACAACCATAACTTTTACAATAAAGTTAGAGCTCTAAATTCATACGCGGTCTATATTTAGTTTTTATATGATATAATTCACATTTAAAATGAATTTGACTATGTACTAATTTTTTACTAAAAAATTCTGTTGAATTATTCTAATCTCTAGTTCTACTCTTTACATATCAATAAATTTAAAATACCATTTGATATGTGTCATTTATATTTTTTATATGATAAATAAGAATGGAATTAAGATTTCATTATTAGAGGGGTCAAAAGCAAAATAATTTTTTTTCATCATACAAACATGTATGTACAATATAATATATATATGTAAATTATATATACATAGCAAAAAAATTTAAATACAATTTCTAATAGGTGAAAAAGTTTTTTTGGTGCAAAATAGAAAGAGAATGCAAGATGGGTGAAGAATGACATATATTTATTATACTGAAGGGTCATTTTATATATAAAATGGTATATATATTTTTAAAATTTTATGACAAATAATATTTTTCACAAAAACAGAGGGTCATGATCACTATAATCTTCTTCTAATTTTGTCCTTGCTCATGAAGAAAAAATTTGCAATGCTTTTTAGTGTCAATGATAGAATTAGGGAATATTTTGAAAAGATAGTTAAAAGTCATCTTTCAATTTTTAATCCATTTTATATGTTTTTAAAAAAAAATTAAAAATCAAAAAATTAACTTTTAATTATCTTCTCAAAACAACCTCGTAATGTGTTTTTGTCTCTCTGTTTGTTTGTTTTTGTCTCGTAAAAGGAAATTTTCAATTCCTCGCCTTGAACTTTTCTTGATCACATGTACATTTGCGGTATGAAAGAGCCAAATATCAAACATGGCGGTCTATTTTGGAAAACAGGTTAAAAAATAGTTTTTAAAATTTTTTAACTTTCTTAAAAAAATATATACAAAAAGTAGAAATTACTTTTAACCTAATTGACAAAACAAGCCGTAATCTTTAAATTCACATCTAAAATTGATTTAAAACTAATCAATAATTAATATGAAATAATTTGCATTCACTAACAAATTTAAAAATTATATTTTATAGGTCACAAATTTTTTATTAATTATCTAAATTCTTTGCTACCATTTGTTTATTAGTTTTTATATATTTTTTACATTCAAAAGAGCCAATAAAAAACGACTAAATATTATATATTAAATATCTTTTCGATATTTATAAAACAACTCTCACATTTTCACTTCATTTGTCTTAGATATAAAACTTTTCAATTTTTTACAATTTTTTTAGGCAGCGTTTGATTTTGTTTTCAAATCATGATTTGGGTCAAAAAATTTCAAAACTTATAACCAAACAAAGTTTTCATAACTTTTTTCAAAAATTTATATAAAAAAACTCATAACTAAACAAATTTTCAAAATTCTATTTAAAGTTTTTTAAAATTTTGTCCTATAAAATTATTATTTTTTATTTTTTTAATTTTTGAAAACAAATACATATATATATATATATATTTGAAAATAATTTTTGTTATTTTTTTAAATATTGATCAAATAATTTGTTATGATTTAGATATATATGGGCGATCTAAAATTTTCTAAAATTTGAAAAAAAATAAATATTTAAAATAAAAAATTAAATTTTAAATATTTAAAAAAAATTAAATTTTTTTAAAAGTAACTCGTGTCTAAATTTTTTTAAATAATTTTAAAAATTAAAAATATTTTGTTCGAAAAATAAAAAATTCAAAAAAAATAAATTAAATAAAAAAGTTAGTTTTAATTTTTTTTTTCAAAACTTATAACCAAGTAAATTTTCAAAATATACAATTTAAAAATTAATTTCAAAACTCATAACTGAACAAGTTTTTTGTTTTCAAAACTCATTTTAAGAATTTATTTTTCAAAATACAATTCAAAACTCAAGATTTATTTAAAAAACTAAATCAAATAGAGGCTTAATGTCTCGTGTGAATCTTTCTTTTACACTAAAAAATTTAAAAATTAAACCATAGCATGAGATAGTTTCGCATATTTTAAACTAAACGTAGTTACGCATTGTTTTTTAGTTTTTTTTTTTTTTTTAAATTTTTTATAGGTGTTTTGAATCTCTTGGATGAGATTGTTAGGAATTGTTTGAGATGTCTTAAATAATTGTACTTTTTGACTTTTTAGACTAAAAAGTTGAGGAAAAAAATGTGGTTGTTTGTGATAACTTTTTAACTTTTTACGAAAAAAAAATATGTATTAAAAAATGATATAATTTAATGTATAGGAGAAGGGAGAGAGAAATAGGCAGTACGTTGGGCAGAGCCATGGCAGACTAGCATATAAGATATGCTTGCCTCCTTTTCAGGCATTGAATTGGACGGTGATGTTCGGCCTGTGGCGGCCACCATGGGTCTCGTTTTGGTAATCGGAACCGTTCAATATGTAGAATTCGTTGAGTACTATATGTCTGTAGAAAATCACATTAATCGGATATCGATAACTATTTGATCGGATTAGTTTTTGTCAACCGTTAACTATAATACCATCTATTTTTTTATACAAAACTGATTTGATCATGTAGTTAGCTATATCCGATCAATCTGATTTTCTAAATCATATAGTACTCAATGAGTTCTACACATTGTATGGTTCAGATTATTAAAACGGGAGTCGTGATGGGCCCCCACTGGCCAAACAACACCGTTCTTAAGCTTGCTTCCACCTGTGTAATTTGCTCTCACCAAAGTCAGCAAAAGGCAACTCACGTCAACGTGATTTGTACCTTTTTTGTATAAAAATAATTTTTTTATAATTTTTTTAATAAATAGTGATAACTTTTTAACTTTTTAGTAATTTTTTGTCTTTTTATTTTTTTTTAAAGATCCCAAACCAGGCCTCAGTGAAAGGATTGTTAGTGAAGAGATTTTTAATGTGGGGATTGTTACTGAGGGAATTAAGTAAAAGTATATTTGTTTTGATGATAGTATGAAAAATGATTAGTGATGAGATTATTAAATTATTTTTATATAAATAAATAAATAAATTATTTCTATATTAAAAAAATTAGAACAAATATTAAAACAAACAGGTGCACTTGGTAAAAAAAAATAAATTTAAAAAAATAAATTTTTTATATAAAATAGACTCAATCCACTTATTATTTTCTTAATCCCACTTAAAATCCAACCAAGTTATCCCTCTATAGTGCCCTTCTATTTTTGTCAATCAAACATGGGCTACGTAAAACCTATAAGATTGATAGTCCAACCCCCCATTTATGGAGCCAAACAAACATGACCTACCAGAGTTGGTCGTCTATTAGGCGAGTTTAAAAACCACTATTAGGCAAGTTTAAAAACCACTGAAGACCCTATAATTGAGAAGGCTCCAAAAATTTTAGAATCTATACTATATATATAACCAAATGTAGTTATTTTGTCAAAGCCTTCAAATATTTGTTTCAAAATTCTTATAATTTTAAAATTCTCTCTTTCCTACATGGCAACCTTCTACATTCCCTTTCATATTTTCTATTTTTCTTCATTTTCTATTTGTTTGATTAATTAAAATTAAAATTAATTTCATTGCTTGTGGATAAAGATTTGAATTTCAAAATTCCTCCATATAGATAAACTTATAAAAATAGTCTACAGATAAAGATAAAAATTAAACAATTAATTTAAAAAAATTAATTTCATAACTTATAGATAATTTAAAATTTCTTCCTATAAATAAACAAATAAAAGTTGATAAATAACTTATAAAAATTAATTTCATGGCCTACAAATAAAGATAAAGATTAAATAATTAATTTAAAAAAAGAAAAACGAAATTACTCCTTTTTTCCCCACTTCATTTCGTACTTTAATTAATTTCACTATAGATAAACATATAAAAATTCATAAATAATTTATGAAAATTTATTTCATGACTTATAGATAAAGATAAAAATTAAAAAAATATTTTTAAAAAATAATTTCATGATTTATAGATAAATAAACATATAAAATTGATAAATAATTTATAAAGATTAAATAATTGATTTTCAAAAAAATTAAAATAATAAAATTTAGATAAAGATATGATTAGTTAATCTATATATCTATTAAAAAAAATATTGGCTCTGAATGAGAAAAGTATTAATAATGAAATTGATTCACTCTGAATGAGAAGAGTATTGATAATGAAATAATAAAGGCTATATGGGAGAAGGCATCACAAAAATCTCACAAAATTAATTTTCTTCACTATATTTATAAAATGTAATAATTTGATATTCTTTCTATAAGTTATTAAAAATAATTTGCATTAGATCATTGTTATTTTTTTTATTTTTTATTTTTATAAGATTATCATTCGTTATAGTATTTCTTCAATCCCATCTCTAAATTTTCTCTTTGAAATTTTTGTTTTTTCAATAATTAAGTTTAGAATCAATTTCTTATCAAATTTGTTTTCTTGATCCTTATTTTATTGAAGGATTGATATGAATAAAACTTTCATATAATATATGAAATTAATGAATATAATACAAAGATGATAGAGAAGTACTACATATTTGTCAATATCTCTATGTTATTATTAGTTGATTTGTTAGATTATACTATCAATTTAGAGCTCATATGATATAATTCAATGTCCATGACTCTATTTGTATTCGACCATTTTTTCGTTGAGTAAT